GAGGAGATCTCCAACAGCACGGATCCCGAAGGCGGGAATGATGGAACCGTTAAAGGTAGGAGAATTAGAAAGCCGCTAAAGGGAGTGGAGAACGGAGCATTTCAGCAAGAAACGAATCCCGGCCCGAAACAGTCCGAGAGCGAGCTATATTTCGGTGATGTATCTTCATGCTGCGGACCCGAGAGTAGTTTTTACGATCTGGCTGTGGAGAAAGAAGGTACTACACCAAAATGTTCTACTTACGATCAAGTCGCGTTCATTAACTTCGATACACGTTGTTTTTTAAAAAAAATCCTTAAAGATATCAATATAATTTTTGTTTTAAATTTTATCGAATATTACTTAAAGCTTTTGTAACTGTCAATGAGTTATTTTTAAAAATGCTTGTAATAAAAAATATTTAAATTAATAAGATCTTTAAGAAAATGTGTATAAATTTAATCACTGTTTCATTTAAAATTTTGTTTATCTCTCTTACAGTGTATTTAAAATTTTATTTCCTACATAATATAAAAGAGAGAGAGTTCTTTATTCAATAAAATTTTTAAACAAAGTTTATATCTATCTCTATATCTCTTTAATAATTTCTTGAAAAGAAAATGTTACGGAGTTGGTGAGATATCTGTACAAGTAAGCTTTCACTATTACAAATTCCATAAAAATATTTTTTATTTACAAGAGGGCCGCCAAAATCTTTAATATTATGTCTAAATTATTCATTTTCAAAGCCAGGATGCACTCCTTTAGAGTGTTATTTTTGTCTTGGTACGTTTAGGTGCGGAACGTTCGGAAGGTGCCGACTACCTGGCGACCAGGTTGGGCAAGCGTCAGCTATCAAAGAGATCCCGGCTGCCTCTTCCTCTGCCTGCGGACAATGGTGACATTCCTGTCGACAATTACGCGAACAGCGACGAGCCGAGGAACGCCAGAGGACCGTTTCTCGCTCCCGATGCACAGTACGAAGTGATTCAGCAGGGCCGTTATTCCTATTACGCGTCGAAGGATGACGAAGAGTTACAGGAGGGTCCGGCTAGTTCCGGTTACTTCCGGGAGGACGAGAACGAGAGAGCGCGAGAAAGGGATTACAGGGATTACAGGAACAGCCAGGAGGAGGAAACGCCGCAATGTTGCTTAAGCGACTCGACGACCCCCGACTCTGGTTGGCAGAGTGGCGAGCAACAGCAATCAGATGACAACGTGCGGCCAGTGAACGTGTGATCTTAGATACTTATAAGATTTTAATGACAGCAAAAACTAACAAACGATCACTGAGTTCTCGCGAGAGGAAGTGAAAATAATTAGATCGTAACGAAGAAAATGCGACAATAGTTTCTGATCTGTGAATACGTAATTTAGATCGATCGTGTATAGGTGTTGTTTTTCTCTGCAAACGAAGCAGATGGTTGCAGTTTTGCTTGGAACTTAATTGCCGGAATAGAAATATTAGAGACGGTAGAGCTTGAGCTTGGCAGATAAGGTCCTAGTCGGATAACGTGTACGATGGTAAGTTCGCTTTAAAAAAAAAAAAAAAATTAAAATGTAGCTAAATTGTTAATGCGCTGAATTTATAATCGATAGAGTGTGAAACTGAAAGATCTGGAGATGAAATGCGTATCAGTCGATATCGCATATTCATCGATTCTTCTTCTCCCGAAATAAACTATGTTGCTCTAATGAAATTAGTTTAAGAACGTTTCGTACCTCTTAAATATTTTAAATGATATGTGTACGACGCGCGACGTAATGAGTACTTCTACGACTTTCTTGCATAAATAATAGTTATTTAATAATTATTAATTTCATCTTTTCGACGGACATTACACTCTACATCTGCGTCATTAGTATGAAATGATTTCAAAGAATCATTATCATACCGTAGAAAATATATAATAAAAATTGAAATAGAGAGAGAGATAAAGAGAGAGAGACTTCGATATAAGATACATAGTGATATAAACTGCGATAACATCAAATATAAGTGCGAATCTCGGTTTCTATGACCTCGAGATTACTGCCATTATGAACCGCCATTAATTCTTTTTGTAAGAAGTTTGTCGGTTGAATATAAGTTATATTCATATATATTTAATAAGAAAGACGCGCGCGTAAACATATATGAATAAAATGAGATCAAGTGATGAGATGTATGCTGATTATCGATAGAATCAAGCAATGTGATTTGAGACAAACAGTTTAGACACATAAAAATTCCTTGTGTTCAACATAAAGTATACAGTGAATGTAATTAATGAAGCAGCTTGAACGATTGTATTAAATTACGATCAAGTGTCGGGTAAAAATATTAGTAGGATGAAATATTCGCGACAAATTCTGTGTATTTTTGCATATTAAGCGATGTCGCTCATGTTGTTCGTAATAATAAATAATAGTGTGTACTAAGAATAGTCAAGAAATTATCTACAGAGAGAAAATAGAAAGAGATCGAATGAGAGAGATTGAAAAAGAGAATACTAGTTTCATAGCCGAATAGTTTGTTGAAAATGTATCCGCGAACGAGCAGATGTATTATTTTATGAGAAAGAGATGTCCACTTCTCTCATCGGAAATCCATTCGCCATTTTATGCTATTTATTGCATTTGACTTGTAGTAGTAATAAGTGTATTTTTACTTAAAATCATATATATATATATATATATATTTGTTGCGTATATACGGTAAAGTTAAAATTGCCGGTCAATCGGCAATTGTTCTTTGTTGGATATACGGTATAGATCACGTACAAAAGTGTGCTTTACTCTTGCCAATTGGATGTTAGCTATATAACTTGCCGATCATCCCCGATTAATGATCAAACGATATATGTTTGTAATCGTAAGAAACTATATTTATAACAGGAGTTTAATTTTTGCGTTTTATCGTCATACATAATTTTAATTTATTTCTCAATATCTATAGAATGTTTCATATTTTTTCGCCTCGATTGAAAATTTTACCCGGACCTTTTGGTTAACAATTACATTATCAACGTGCTTACTGATGCTCTTTATTTCAGTGTCACGCCGTTTTCAGATAGTGAAGGCTCGCTTTCGGAAATCACAATTCAGGTGGACCAAGGACAATATAGAGAGATCAATCGAATTAATTAAGGTACTCGTCGGTTGTCTATTTTCGTTATCGGCCGCTCGAGAGAACATGTTAAACATGTAAATGAAATGCATATTTTATCATCCGATAAAGGACACATTGTAGCGTGCACGTTAGCTTAATGTCGTCTAATAAGTGAATGAAAAGTGTACCTTAAGAGTGAGCCGTGGGATCACAGCAAGTCCGACGCGTCAAACGTCGAACAATGTACTTAACAATGATTAAGAATAAAAGGATGATTTTGCGAAGAAAGTTACACGCGCGACGAACGGTTATCTATCCTCAAATTGGGACTTGTTCTTCATATATTGTCACACACAAATTGTTCAACATGTGATAATTGTAGCCAATACGGAAATCCCCTATTGCATAGTAAGCATATATAAGAGAATGTCAAATATATGATTGAAAATAATAATATTTATCTTGCTATATTTTTTCAAAATATTTATTTCGCAAATATATGACATTTCTTATTTTATTCGTTCAAATTTATGCATCGCAAAAGAATTTTATAGTGAAACACGGAGATATATACAGGAAAGCGTTCGCAAGGAATACGGCTTTCAAACGCGGTATTGTTATGCGACGGCTCCTTAGTAAATTCCGACAGCCTCGTTGGCCAATATCAGATTGTTTCGCATGTGAGTTATTAAACTTTCACAATGTCCGTATGCATGAAAAACGATAGCGAGGCATATAATACTATCAGTTTCTGTGCGCAGTATATTTATGAATTGAAATTTATATTCATCGTCAAAAATATTATCATTCAGAAAAACAAATGCGATGTTTCTAACGCTAATATTAACTATTTTAACGATTTATTAAAATTATAAAGTTTTATTCATATGTTTCATAATTTCGTATCAAGCAAGTTGTGACATTTCGTAGATATTATCAGAGTTTCCAGAGAAACATTTTTACATTAAACGGGGCAGTATGTTTGAGATTTACACGGCGGATAAAATCCGACGTACGAAGGAACGCTTAATTAATCAGACGACGCAATCGTACACACACACACATACACACATTTGCACAGAATTTAATATAAAAAATACGCTAATACATTATTAATTATCTAGGATACGTCGGTAATGCTCGATTTATCTATAGTATCTATATTCATTGTTTGAATTGGTATGTTAATTAAACAATTTGCAAAAATACATGTACATCTGACAACGCAAATGACAGTCTGATATGATAAATAATAATAAATTTTTAATTAGTAACATTTATTGTTGGAGACACTGCGATATGAATCTGCCATCAATTTTATGTGAACGTCACATAAAAATTAAAAAAATATATTATTTTAAATCATTAGAATAAATGTACCAAGTATATATCTTTATTAAACATAAAATGTATATTTATGCCAAAAACAGAATTATATGTAATAACAAAGTACAAGGTGTAAGAGGCTGAGATCGCTAGAGTACTACCTCTCTATCATACTCTATCATATTCTATCTCTATCATATCAATAGGAATATTCAATATCAATTATATCAGAACTATCCGAGATATCTAATATCAATAAAAATGTTAAATAAGATATTCTAATATTATTAAGGAAAAATGGACGAGAGCAAAAATGTTTTGGAATATTTCAAAATTCATATAGAGAGTTCATAATGAAATTATGAACTTCAAGCACCTTCAACGACTCTATGCGTTGCCTGATTCGCTAAGAACCTCTCAACCCTTTCCCTAAATTCTCTGCTAGATTCCGGCAAGGGTAGTCGCGGTCCTAGACCAGCGAGACCTTGCAAAGTAGTGAAGTTCTGTAGACTTTCCGACAATTGATGATCGTGATTCAAGATATCCGGCTTGGGTGCAGGGGGTTTTCTCTTTTGCAACGGCAATTTCGTCGTCTTCGAACCAGCGACGGCATTACCGCTCTCCGGCAAATTCATCATTCCGTTGAACGCAATTTGCGCACTTAGCAGTGACCAGAGTACCTCCAGACAAGACGCTGTTATAACGTTCATGGCCATCGGTATTCCGTATAAATTCGAGTCGAATTCTCGTCTACGCCAGACAGCCATTTTTTTCTCCTTCAAATTCACAGATCCCGTAATGTTCATCGTGTCGTCATCCTGGAAAGTACCTTTCGATATCATCATTCTTTCCTCAAAAACGTTGAACTCAAATGGTTCTAAAGTAACGAGTGATTTATTAAATTTGTCGATTTTCGAAGAATCATGATTTTCGATGAACTTTGGATTGCCTTTGGATAATGTTACATTATGAGTATCATTCGTGAAATCATCGATAGGATGATGATGAGCGTCGAGAATCTTTAACGACTGCTGGGATTCTTCAGCGTTTAAAATCACCGTAAGATCGTATATCATGACGACGCTGCAGAAGATCCCGACCGCCGAGGAGAAGAGGCTACCGTAGAAGAAAATGGTGATGTTCCGGTCGATGTACCAACGTCGCCAAGCGAGACAGCCGGTCACGGACGGTACCAGACATGCGAGAGACAAAATATGACCCGGAACAGACATGGACACGGTGCTCAAAAAGAGGGATATCGCCCCGAGAATGAAGTGGATCAGGGACATGCCGCCAACCGTCGACGCCGAGTAGCGACGCTCCGATGGATATAAAGACGACAACGGTGGCTTTGTCTTGATTTTTATGACGTATACATTCTCCGTCATTGTCTTCTGTTCGACTTAAATCGCGCGCAATCGATCGCACCAAATTTTAAATCAAAGAAACCGATCCAAAAAAAGGATTATAGTAGATATAATTCGATACATTTGCGTTCAAGAGAAATTCGTATAATTCACGTACAATCCATTGTTCCATATATTCATAAAAAAGTTTGCATTTTTATAAGAATTCCCGTTACGATAAATCCAGAAACTGCTCGTGAAATAATCCTCGCACTTTTTGCTTTGCACTGTCGAATTGAAAAACATTCGTAGATGAAATGCAGTAGTTGATCGTTGTGTTACAAAATCTGTCTGAAAATCATAAAAATAAAATGTTTTATGAATACATTCAAATGAATTAAAATGTCATGTAGAATTTATTAATATAACTATTGCTGGATTTTGAATATAAAATAATGTGCATTACGTATCATATATCGAGAATAAGAAGATATTCATATTTTTATTAATTTAATAAATAACATATTAAAAAAGATGTATCTCTAATATGTGAATATTTTCATAGCTTTTTTACTTTATATAAAGATATTTTAATTATTACATATAGAGTATAACAAGACAATGTTACATAAGTATATGTACCAAGCGCAATGTTGACTGCTAATTCGAGTGATTGGAAGTTAAATTATAAGGCTGAAAAAAAAATGCGCGATCGACTGTGGAAAATCAAACGAGTCACGATGCGCGATCGCGATGATTTTACACAGCCACTCTCTCATTCCGTATTCAATTATACCGGATATGCAACCCGCAATCGAATTCGCGGGCAGTATCGAACCCGAGGAACGTTTAACAACGCGAATTCGCTGACGTTTGATGGCATAGCAGAAGAAGCCGAAGCCAACTTCCGCAGCGGCCGGTCGAGCAATTATCGCAACCGCTTCTCGTTCGACTTTAATTGAAATCCCCGTCGGCGGATTTCGCTCCGCGCGGCTTTCCGCGAGATAGACACATTGCGCAATCCTTGCGTATAACAATCGCTCGCTCGTGACAGAATCCAGCAAGTCTCAGCACAACGCGGAGTGGCGTTCACACGCGAACGACATTGTATTGTAATCAACATTTCTGTCATAAGTAACATAAAAATGGAACAAGATTATTTGTAGAGAGTTCCGGAATACATTTTACTGGGTTGTAGAATGGATGAAATTAAAGAAAAATTATAATAAAAGAGCAATTTATAAAATAATAGGATTATATTATTATAATAAAGTAAAAAATGCAGAATCGCAATAAACGAGAAATATAGACTTTTATCTCTCGCGAAATATGGATTATAATATTTATATAGATTATAATGTTACTTATGTGACTGGTTCAACGACTACACACGTTGTCGTTGTTATGTGCCGCTCGATCTTTTGTTTTTTTTTCTCATGCCAACATTATGTAACTGATTACGAGATACTATAATTATATTACGAGCGCGCCTGTCTTTTCTCGGGCATTTCTTTTCACGTCAGATTAGCATGTCAAACTGTGTGAATCTTTGGTGAAATTTATAATGAATTTATACTCCAAAATGCACAAATGCACAAATATTAAATATTTAAATTATATATTAAATATTTAAAGCAAATATTAAACAAAGTGTAAAATATTATTTCTGATATTTTATTCTATTAAATATATTAATTAACGTAATATTGTGCACTTTTACGAGTCTAAATTATTTTTCAAAATCCAGCAGTTATACGAAGTGTGAAGAACGGTTACACAACAACATTGAAATTGATTAGAAAATTAAAAAAGATATAAACGAAAGCCAATCCTTTTAAAATATTTAACCTGTGTTCATTTATTATAATTGACAATATTTATATTTTCTTAGAATTTCTAAAAAATAACTTTCAACATCATAAAGAAGATAGAAAATTACTTTATGTGTGTGACATGATGTTATGCTAACTTTATCTTTTCGAAAATAAAAATCTAACGGTAAATATTATATATTATGGAGAAACACACACGCGTACAGTGAAATCTTACAAACTTTATTTCATTGGCGAATCCATCCAGGATTTTCACTGATAATGCTGAATCAATCACATTCAATTTTCTTCATAGCGTTGGAATTTCCGATTTTGAGAGAACGAGATTTTAGCAATCACATCTAATAGTTTGATAAGCGATCGCTCGCGCGCGACACTTGAGTGGCGACTGAACTACGAGAACTAGTCCTCGTTGAAATTACTACGAATATCCAAATGACCTCCCACGCAGCCGACTCTTAGTGAAAGGGATAACTGAGAGCAGCGTCGGATGAACATAAACCTTCATTAAGCTTTGTTCACATCATTGACGACCCATGCGCAAAACGATCTTGACAATAAGAAGGCAAATGCCAACTTACATTTTCCTTTTGTCGTTTCTCTCATTTGTTGCCATAAGAAATGTATCAAATGTGTGTGCGAACTTATTTGAAATAGAAAATGCGAAATAATTGGAATATTTCCATTTAAAAATGCAAAATGCAAAATGGTTTTCAGACATTTATTTAAAATAGGAAACGGAAAATAGGCATTTTTAATATAGTTTTTTAAAATAAAAATGGTTTGTTTATATATTTATATTTTTAGAGTTTTTATATTTAAGTTTTTATTTTTACTATCTTTATTTCTTATATCTATCTATTAGATTAGATTTTACTATCTTTTCTTATTTCTTACGTGAAGTCGCATCTGCATTCTCTGACATTATTGCATGATACATACATTACCAGTACGAATGGTGGCAATAGGTTGACTACGCACATTGAAATACGAGCCAGTATCCGTGTGTGTCCGCCTTGGTGTGCGTTGAGCCTACTATTTCCCACAATGAGTAAATAAAACATTTAATCTAGAATTCATTTTACAATGAGCAAGTATAATGCAGTATTACACAAATGTTTTGATTTATTGATATTTAGAGCTATTATCGATATCTCGATTAATCTTTTAGCGTACAAGAAAAATGGATGATAAAAACCATTTAAATGGAAATGAAAAAAATGATTAAAAAGAAAATGTATTTTAAATACAAAATATAAAAAAAACATTTTGCATTTTATATTTTCATTTTAAATGCATCTATTTCAAATAATGCATGTCTCTGGTTGCCGTATGAACCATGCAAGAAGAAATAATAGAAAGTCGTGAATGAAAAAAAGAGAAGTGTAAAAATATAAGGATATTTTTTAGAAGCTATTTCTTCACCATTTTATCGAGCAAATAAGCACGCTGATATTTTCGGAATGGAATTCCGTACATGTGCTTTTTTTGACTCGACTGGTTTTTTCATGGTAGTAGTCAATTGACTTTACTTGCCTCTCACGAAAACATGACCCTTCTTCCCATTATGAAAGTCCCGTTATAATCGAAGGTAACTCTCAGAGAGCAAACGTATCCCAGGGTCTTCGTCGAGGATTGCGCATGAGCCAATCTTTATTGTTGGATGCAGAAACACGACGTGTGGGTTCGGCACACGACCTTTACGTTCGATCATTGGTAAGGAATCATTCGCAGATTACGTTATTCCCCATCAAGAAATATACGTAAAACAAAGAAAGAGCGTGCTGTCTCTCGATTTTCCTATCATTTTGACTAGATTATAATAGGTAAAATATTATTCAGCTTTATGCATTATTTTCAAGCATCGTCGTCTAATTTAATGAGCTGAGAAATGAAGCGAGAAATATTTTCATTAAAAGTCACTTTAAATATCGAGGTCATCTCTTACAATGTACGGTCAGATGTTGATCATCAACGGTTGTTGATAATCTGATCTTAAGTGAAAAGCGTATATTTGGGCAAACACCTGCCGCTTTCGCGGAGAAATCTTAATTTAGTCAATTTAATCTTAGAGAGGTAAGAGTCGGCTACTTTTATCTTACATTTACAATATGAAACTTATTATCGACCTGTTTTAAATTACATGAATGTCAATTTTCTTACCTAAGTATCGGTATATTATACAAAATGTTTTCTAAAGCTTCTATAAATATATAGAAACTTAACTTTTGAGAAAAATAATAATGCAATTATTTCGTAGAACAATTTTAATTTTGCGCCGAGAGCAACTGTTGCAACACTATTGGTATCAACATTTTAAAAATCATGGAACATAATTTCATAACATAATTTATAGATTGAGGCGATACTGAAACGCATTATTAGACTAATATTTTAAATTATTACAAACTTTAATATGGGCTAAGCTATGTTTGCGCAAGAATAAGAGAGTAAAATCGCGCGCGACTACCGTGTCTCTTTCAAATGATTTCTTCACGATCGCATAAGGACCACTATTATCTAATGCGGAATGCTAACAGGAGTATCATTATTAGCTTCGTTTTGCAATTAGATCATCAAGAAAGTATAACTACCAGTAGCTGCGATTGTACGCTATAACGGTGTGTGCATCTTTCGATGCGTCGCAAGAAAGATAGAGAGGACTTTCACGAGAGGTTGCAACAAAATCGCTTTGCTGTCTTGATAAATCGTTCATGCGGAAATTATGACACCGCTTTCCAGAGGATGGTGCGTCGTCGTTGGAGACATCGAACTTCCGGCAAGATCGTTCGGATGGCAAGCTCGTTCGAGCGAACAAGCGATCGTATTTTAGAAAGACATTGAAGAGAAATCAATTCGTACATTAATTGTAAGCATGACTCCGCACAACGGGATAACCGAGATCTGTACGATTGCGTGTGGGACAATCCGGAAAACGTGCGTGCATCCAGAGACAGTTGCACGTGGATGCACGCTCTTGCGTGTGTCCGATAAATATTAATCAGAATAATCACTGTAATATATTTAATATTACAAATTATATTTAATATTACGCATTTTGTTTCAAAACAATAATGAGTGAGGAATGAGGTACAGAAGTATCACGATACATAATATTATATATTAATTATTATAGAGATATTATAATTAATAATATTATATATTTAATATTATTTATTAATTATATTATCTATATCTATATCTAATATAGTATACATCTAAATATATAAAAATGAAATATATTTATATAATTTACATTTATAGATGCGAAGTTTATATGGAAAACTAGCATTATTAACTATCATTAGTATTATTAACTATCATTTCTTGCTCAACATGTAATATTTAAAATAAGAAAAGTTTCGTAAGATTATTATAAAAATAAATGAATAAAAAAAATTAGAGAGGTTTCCCAAAAGTGATAGATTGCTCGTTGAAAGGAGTGGAAAGTCGTCGAACGGAAACCGCGATCAATAATTAGAACATAAAAATATATCGATCAGGGCGATCTGGTTTCTTATTATCACCGCTTTTTCTTGTACACTTTCACGTGAATGTCCACCCCGTGAAAAGGTCTCAAAAAACGCATGCTTAGGCGCTCCCGTCGTG